TATTTTCAAGAATGGTTTCCAATTTCAAGGTGAGTAAAATGGGTAGGATGAAGAAGAAGACTATATTTATAGTCTAGGATTTTTAAAAGAGGGAAAAGCCCAAATTGAAAATTATGGGCCCTCTTCAAAATTCAAGCAAAAGTGGGAAAGGCTTGGAGTTTGCACCAAAGCCAAAAATATATAAATGAAGAATCAATGCTTCTTTCTCCAAGCTTTCCTTGAACACGGGGCATTGGGGGGCAAATGATGGGTCAAGCCCAAAATAGCTCAATCTATGTGCAAAGTCCAAATCCCAATTAAAAAGCTCAACCTCATTTAAAAATCCACCAAGCCTAACATAGCCCAAGACCAAGTTAGACTCTTTGCTTAGCCACGTCATCAAGGGGGAGAGCATGGGAAGCCTTACCTGCACGCCGAAGGAAACGGTCCACCCACACCATATCTTTGACTGCATCTCATGGAGAGCTCCTCAACCACCTCGCTCGTTGAGAAGAGATCGCGAGCTCCAACGAAATGGTTACTTAGTCGTTAAAGAGTAGCTCCAATCTGTTAGGGGGCCACTATAAATTGCACGCCCCACCAACACATGGAAAAACACACTGATTACCTGGGCATCACACTTTTCCTGAGCACGACTCTCTATTCTCCTTCAAAACTTGTACTCTCTACTCTCCACTCCCTTGAGTTAATAAAATACCCGGTAATCAAAAGCCATTAAAGAGTGGACGCAAGTCAAGCTGACCGAACCACTATAAATTGTCTGTATCTCTCTATCTCCTATTATTAATTTTCTAACATTTATTATTCACACTTGACAGATTGTGTGCAAAACCATTTTGTGCATCATCAATTACGTTTTGATCTCTATTTCATAGTGTTAATATGATACAACCATGGAAGGATTATGATGCATGCAGCACTACATAATTATGATTTGAGATTTTCTAGAATGCAGAATCCTTGGTTGCCGCTGCAGTTTAGATTTATAGTTTTTCTGCTCATCTATATTCTTGCTGATCCAACGTGGACTGTGCAACCATTCTTAGAAACGAGTTAGTAGGTGGGAACGGGGCTCACAGGATTGATAATCTTACATGTCTTGTGACATTGTTTTTTTTTTTTTTTTTTAAAGTCATGATGCAGGTCGAATTTTCTTGTTTCAGCAACATAGAATTTTTCATAGCAGCGTGTATGGGACTCCCTTAAGTCCATATGTTTCTTGCGCATCTGTTGTACCATGTGAATTTTTTAATTCAATGCCAAGGAAAAGACATAAATTTTTGGGTTAGGGTGGGTTTGGTTTGAACATTGGCTCAAACACGATTTGAAGGGTCCTAGCTACGCCATACACACGACTCCTGGATCACTCTGGCGGACTTTCGTATCTGTTCAAGCGGCCGGTAGAAGTGGCATCCTTTATTTAGTGTGATTCTTTACTATTGGCTATGAGTTGGATGGTCTAATCTTCAGCCAAGTGTTATCTGTGTTCAAAAGTATCTCGTTGTTATGTTCATAGATGAGTTGATTTCATTGTGTGAACAGAAATCACATAAGTTGGCGACAGACATCTATTTAGGGACATCGTTTTTGTTTTCTTGGAGCTTTTTGTTGGGATTTATTTATCGAATCTGTGTGCACATGGGAAGCCATGACTTTTAATAGTTTTATTGACCATTCAGATTCCAGAGCGGATCCATTCATCCTTTCATTTGAACTTTTGTGGGTACGTAAATTGTTTATGATTGTTTTGGTTATTGCATGACTCTATTTAGTATTTACTAGGCAGGATTAAAGGTAACATAGATGCATTTTTTATTATTTAAGAATAAAAAGTAAGAATAGTAAATTTTCTAATGGAAAGTTATTTCTTTTTGTGTTTGGTTGAGTGGATGAAAAATAAAAATAATTAATTTTTTTTTTGTGCTGGCTAATATTAGAGATGATAATCGAATCGTGTCGTAATAGATTCGTGTTGAGTCATTACGGGTTAGTGTCTAATATTAGTCACACATAATTCAACTCATTTAACTAATTGTATCTTGTTGAATTACAAGTTGACCTATTTATTTTTATATTGTGTTCGTGTTTGAGTTAATCAAGTTCGTGTTATCAAATTCGTGTAGAGTTTGAGTCACGTCATTATATTGAGTCAAAAATTTTCTGACAAAATTAAGATAAAAAAAAATATTTTTAAAATTAAAATATATATATTTTATTTATTTTAAAAATTTATATATATATATATATATATATACTACTTTAAAATGTGGGAATACATGAAAAATATTTTATTTCCACTTTTGTCCTCCAAAACACAATAATGTCATCTATATCCTTCATCTTTAATAGCAAAGTAAACCTAATCACCACTTCCACTTCTTCCCTTTACTCCTGTACTGACCCGTCTCTTTTGTATATCTCTCCCTATTTTTCAACCGTTTCTCTCTCTCTCTCTCTCTCTCTCTCTCTCTCTCCTTATTCTCAGCCGTTACTCTCCCTCTCGCCCCTGCGTTTTCACCCATCAACAAAGACCAAACCGTCATACCCCCTCTCCATCTCTCTTTAATTCTGCCTTTGCGTCCCTACAACTTATTATTAGCAGATTTAAGGGCTACTCCATACAACCCAGGTTCTATACCTTCACCTGTTATTTCTCCCCAATATTCTTTAATTATACTAATTCAATTTAAGAATCAGTTACGATCGCAATGCCTTGCACCCTTTGCCATTCTAGAAATCAATTAGCAACTTACGCTCTGTTTCTTTTAATTCCAAAATGACAGGAAGTAATGTCCAAAACAAAAATGACTACACCACTTCCCACATATCCTCCCAGTTCATAGCCTTAGCCTTCGCCTTCGCCTTCGCCTTCGCCCTTACTCTGTCAAACGTTGGCTGTATTTTGTTTCTTGGTATTCCACAAGCATCACTGTACTGCTTCATCAGGTAACAAATTTTTGTTAACAAATTATTCCTCTAATGTCTGGGGTTAGTCATTATCCTCTTGTAATTTTGTACATTTTGTATTTAATATAATTTTCTCTGTAATCGAGCGCCAAAACTATTCATTAAATTCAACCTCTAGAATGAGAAAATAGAAGTAACTTTTAAATTTTTTTTATTTAAGCTTGCATATAAGTCTTTATTATATAGTCAAAGAAATTTGAATCTTTTGATACTTGTAGCTGTAGTGGGTATTGGGTTTGAATTTACTTAATAAGTTCTGGTTGTTAGTATTTGTATAGAAATCCAATTGTGTTTCTTTTTTATTTTATTTCGTTTTTATGGCGTTGTTTGTTGTTTATTGTTTGTCTTCTTGAATTTAATACAATGAAAACGTGCAACAACAAAAAACTCTGCACCGGAAGTGTTTTGTAAACTTTAGAGGTAGGAAATCAATTTAAAGTGCCTAGAATCGGTACAGTCTAAAAGAATGAATTAGTTGATGTTATTGCTATTATTAACTTCAAAAAATATAGTGGACATTAGTTATTTTATTAGGAAAAATTTTGCCCAGACACAAAGACCTATAACTTCGAATAAGAGCAAATATTTTAGCTATATGCATGAATTTACTAAAGCAAAATCACAAAAATGGGCTGCAAATATAAATACTACCAAATTTAGAATAATGTTGTATTCAGGAAAACCTCCAATAGAAGTAAATGGACAATCTTCACCACAAACATACAGTTTTGAACTTGTTCATTTGACAAATGAGTTCATAACTAACATACTCGGTATCTAACACTTTGCTACCATGAAACTTGAGTCTGGTCTTTAGTCATTTGCATTAGACCAACTAACTCCTACCCAGATATGTAGGATTCTGGAATAATACAATCAAATTAGATGTGTTATACCTCATCCTTCTCATAACTGCTGCTAGATGCAGGATTCTCATAACTGCTGTTAGGATGAATAGGGTTATGAAATAACAATTAGACTTCACTTTATGGGAGAAATTGGTGGTATTGTGACCTTTTGCCATAATTTGTGATGATTGCTGCCATATGGTAATCAATTTTCATGAAGCTATGAGAAGAAATGGTTGACGCATTTAGTTCACATCGACAACCAAATATATTGGTGAATCTTATAATTTTGTTGTGAGATATAAATAATTTCTGCATCTAAATTTGATTTGTCAAGTTGGTTTGAATTGAAGGCTATTAGAAACTCGTCCTATATCAGAATAGTTGTTGCTGTGAATACTTGTCTTACACTTTACATATATCTGAGATTGGATAAACGACCCTTATTATAGTATTAACTTGGCCCTAATTGGTTGAACTACGATTTGTTTAAGTGAGAAATGGTAAAAGCCAGAAAAAAATCTTTACATATGTGATTTTTATTATAAAAAAGAAAAGAAAACAACTCTTTACATTGAACTGCTACAATTATGTACATATGCACCTATGATCGGTCTAGAGAAATTGTCTTCTCATTCAGTTGTACGGGTGTTGTTTTAGATATTTTGCAGTTGACACATTGGAATGAGTCTTCCATGGGATCCACATAGACCATTATTCCCATTTGGAAATCCATTTCGTATGGTGTTACCTAAGGGCCCACCCTCCCTCCATGGCTCCATGAACTGTTGAACACGTTTGAGGAAACCTTGGCAAAGAGGTTTAGGAAGCTTAAGCCAAAAGACAGGAGGCTGTACTGATCCTATCATGGATGAGGTTTGTAATGAAGTCCCTCTGTGACACGCACACTTATATAAAAGTCCTCATTACCGCACTTGAACTCCCTGTGTTGAATTAGGATGAGAAATGAATTGATGTATATCTGGACAATAGTGTGAAGTTGTTTGATATCTGCATTGCTTTCAGGTCTGAGCTGTCACGCCTGAATCAAGGCCAACTCTTATTTCAGTGCATCTTACACAACTTGGAATGCCCCACTCCAAAAAAGTTTTTGCATGCTCATGCCTCATTTGATGGAGGCAGCACATTAATTGAAAGAACTCAACACTTGAGAACTGTTTTTCCATGCTAGACAATCTTACTAAAACACTTAACCATCCTAAGGTGAAAAACTCAACCAAAGCCAAGGTTTTGATGCGTGCTATGTATGGAGTTAAGGTGGTAACTTTGTTTGTTTGTAGCATCTTTATGGCTGCATTCTCAGGTTCGGCAAAGAAGTTGAGGGATTTCCAAGTTCTCGAAATATGCTTGTGGGCAGAAGCTTTTATCGAGCTACAGTTTTTTGTTAACAGAGGGATAAGAAATACATTTTCAAGTGGTAGTGTACAGTATTGAGAGAGCTTGAGGCAAATTATATAGTTGTCAACAAATTGTGCATAGCACCATTGAATTCAACCTCAGATTTGGGGAAGAAGAGTGAGAAGCTTTCACAAGGATTAGATGTTCTTGCAAAGGAAGTGGATGGCTTCTTCCATATTGTTTTGATCGAATTGGATGCTTTGCTTTGCAACTTAAGAGTGGGTAAATGTTCATCCTTTTGACCCGCACCATTGTTCTTGCTTTATTTGTATATTTTCTTTTATTTATCTACTGCAATTTTTGAGTTTGATGTTTGCATCAAGCTAACAACTTTGAACATTTTTTTTAAGTCACTATGCACACCAGTGTTTCGATATAGGTTTCTGAATTGATGCTTTAGTTGCTTAAAATGAACATTCTAAGCAAGGAGTTTGTTGGAGTAATAAGTAGTGGTTTAAATCAGAACTTGCTAGGCACCCTTTGCGAGGAGAGTAGGCATTTAAATTGAATCTTTCGACTCTGCCCTGATGTTTTTGTTTTGTTGTTTTCCTTTTCTCATGTTGGTACATCATATTTTTACCTGTTTGATCGTGTTATCTTTGAAACTAGATTGTTCCGGGGGGAAGCAACTTTCCCCAGCCTGCAATTTTGCTAGGAAGCAAGCACAAAATGCTGGTTTCTTGCTTCCATTTGGTTATGGAAAAGAGGAAATGTGTCTGCTCACGTATAATTGCTGCTTAAAGATCCTTTGGGAAAAGTAAATCACCGAGTGCAATTATGTTTCTTGACATTTCTCCAATTATGATTTATTTTTTGAACCTTCTCCAATTATGATTTATTTTTTGAACCTTCTCCAATTATGATTTATTTTTTGAACCTCCTCCAATTATGATGAGAGACACAATATATAAGGATGGAATCGAGAATGATGTATTTGAGCTAACTTGAAATATTATTTTCTTTAGTATATTTTTTGGATTTAGTTGTTCTTCGTTAATTATTTACCAATGTTTACCAAACAAGTGAATTTATAAAATTGTGGTTCACGACTTTAATATATATGATTTTCTATAAAATATAGTTCACGTGCAATGCACGTGTGCATTAACTAGTATATATATATATATATATAGATATATATATGTATATTTTATCATTATATTTTTATACTAAATTAATGTATACATAATATATGTATATATAAAAAGATATATAGACAAATAAAATAAATCTCAACATAAATAATTAACTTTTTATCTACTTTTCTTCTGATTTTGGAGGAATTGATTTTGGTGAGTTAAAAGGAAAGTTAATCCATCAACTTTTTCATCCTTACCAAGCATGATGTTTTATTTATTCTTTTAACTTTTCATTTTTTTATTTTTCTATCATACCTAACATAATGTTTTATTAAATCCGTATTATTGAAATATCTCGGCATAGATCTCTATGTCATGTTAAATTTATTTGCAGGAGAATCTTGGATTTGCCACTAAGTTCCTCATCTGATGTATCATGCAGAAATTATTAAGCAGCATTACATTTTTAAACTCTGATTTTAAAAAATGCAAAGTTTCTTGTTCGCTGGTTTTGTATAGGTTTCTAGATTTCCTGCTCATCTGTATTCTTGTAGATCCAATGTAGATTCCATTTTCTTTTAAGATGACACTTAGACAGTGCAACCATTCATACCAATGGCCAACAACCAAAACATTTTTGTTTCTGTAGAAACTGAGACAAATCGCAATGACCCAATTAAAATAGCAGAGCTCGACCAACTGAGTTATATATAACAGTGATTGATGTCGAAATTCCTAAATTTCGATGTATTTCAGAATATTTTTCTGTTTCATTATTGTCAGATTGATTGACTTACGCATGATCAGGAAATATGTACGTTGATGAAAGCAAACTGCTTGTTCTTTGTTCAAAAGTACCTTCTTTTTGTTTTTGTGGATGGTCAGATAAGAGTTGATTTGCTTGTGAGCAGGAAGTATGTAAGTAGTTGACAGCAAGGATTAAAATTTGTTTCGTCTATTTTGAAACGCTTCCGTCTTCATGAAAACTAAAATGAATCAGTAGTGATTGAATATTAAAACGTCAATGTTTCAAGGTGTTTCGGAATGTTTTCACTAATGTTTCGGAACGTCTCAACTAATCTAATTTTTTTTTTTTTCTGTTTTCATATTATTTTTGAAATATTTCTGAAAACTTTTATGTTTCATGGGTGATCGAAATAATGCATTGAGACAAAATCCTAATCCTCGGATGACAGCCATCTGTTTAGTGGAGGCTGAGGAGTGCCACCTTTTTTTTCATGATGCTTTTTCTTGAGAACTATTTAAAGAATCTGTGTGCAGATAGGAAGCTGTGCCTTTTAATAACATTTTTGACTATTCAGATTCAGGAATGGATCCATGCATTATTTGGACATTTGTTGAGGGACCTTTTTGTACTTAAATTGCGTGTGATTGTTCTGATGCTTATTAAAACCGTATGATTAAACAATTCTGCTTTGATCTCTAGGTCAAACCATCTGATTTAGCCATGCAAGGATGACTAGGCAGCATTACATTATTAAACTTTGAGATTTCCTAGAATGCAGATTTCTTGTTTGCTGGTGCAGTATAGGTTTTTCTAGATTTGCTGCTTATCTGAAATCTTGTTGATCCACCCCTGTTCTTTTAAGCTGACCATAATCGAAATGACCAAATTGTTTTTTTGTTTCCATAAAAATTGAAACAAATCAGGAATCGCGTTTCATAGTAAACATGTGTGTTTGAATTGTATCTCAAAAAATAGTATCTAAAAATAATTTTTGAAAAGAGTTTTACAAAAGTGTATTTTGGGTATCAATCGAGGGCTAAGGTTGAGTAGTGAGTATCAGAAGAAATCAATTAGTCGGAGCTTGCCGTCGAGTGGTGGATCCTCATGTATATGGTCTACTTCGAGTTTACAGCATTCTTCGTTTTTGCAGTGTTCTTTGTGTTTGGAGTAGAAGCAGTTGAGAAGAGTTTCAGGAGACTAGTGTTCTTCGGTTGGGTTTGCAGAGAAGAGGCTGTTGGGTTTTCGGGCACTTGTAGCACACGCAAATTATAGTTTGATTCCTTTCAATTATGACTTTAGTATCACTTTTTTCCTACAACTATTAAGCTTCTCACTTTGCTTTCTTAAACACTAGAAATAGTTTTACAATTCACAAAAATCAAACGTTCGACAGGACTAAAATTAGAGTAGTGTGATTATAGTTGGAAGTGCAATTAAGAGTGTTCACCCTACCAACAGGCAGGAATTATTATATTCCCTTTTCTTATCCCATTCTTTGCGGAAGACTAATTTCTTGACTAAGTCTACCTGATTAGGTAATATTTTCTCCGAATTCCGTCCAACACAATCGGATAAAATATTGGAAGAAGAAGTAGAAACAGGAAGTAGAAACAGAATCAAAGCTCAAACAAATTAACTTCATATCAAGAGTTATACTCGGTGATGGGACTCTTCTGAAAAGCCCTAAGATGAAGACACGTGTCCTCGGGTTTTTTGGAAACAGTGTTGCCCGGATGTAAGCACCATCGGCGAAGAGCGTCCTTTACCCCGAGGTACCTCTCATATAGGATCACGCATTCGGTGTATTAAACAACAACACGTGTCCTCGGTCACCGTGTACCTCGGAAACATACCACCCTCGGTCCCCGAGGTGAGCCTTTCCTCGGTGCCGAGGGTCACTCCATCCTGAACGCTTCCTCTACTCCCAGATAAAGCTACTGACGTACGGGACATCAGCCTATGCCAGTCTAGACTATTCATCATGACCTCGTCTTACACAAGTAATGTCAGAACATGCTGGAATACAGAAGTCATAGCCAATACGTGATGGACGCGTGACATATGATATCACATCAAAAACAGACAAACCGCATGCTGTTGCTGACACGCGCTTTGGAAAGCAAACAATTAATTGCACCCTTCTGTTGACGAGACCGCATTCAATGCGGTAAGGTTCGGATATGAAAGGCAATAAATGCTCCTGTTACAGAGCATTTATTGCATCCTTCCCGAAAGGAGCATATTGTACCGTCGGCGTCCCGACGACTCAGCATTGATTGCTTGGGACCCCGAGCAGTCAATTAGAGAAGACATTCCTCATCAAATCAATACACACGCTACCTGTGCCTGATGATCACCTAGTGACCACACTGACAGCAATCATGAGCTTCTAAGGTATAAATACTCCTCCCAAAAGGCAAAGCGGGTATGCAATCACAAACTCTCTACTACAATACGAACTTCCTCAGTGTTTTCTTCTTCCTCTCTCTCATTCAAAGACTGACTAGACCGTCGGAGGGGATACGCCGGAAAACACTCCGGCACCCTTCTAACTTGTTCCTCTTTATTCCAGGAAAACCTTTCACACATACAGGATCGTTCTTCCTTTCCCAGGATCTTCCTTTGCCGTTCCAGGTTGCCACCGTACCTTGTAGGCTGTGTCAAGCAGCGTGTTTGGCCACTCAATCGGCTCACTCAAAGTTCACCAGGGGAGAGATCTGTTCCCGTTTTTTATATTGTGCAGGATCTTGCACGCACAATCTGGCGCCGTCTGTGGGAAACGAGTAGTTTTCCTAATCTTTTCTCTATAAAGAATAGTGACCATGGTGAACACCAGACAGAGAGGGAAAGGACCCCACCAAAGGAGTCATGAGTTGCAAGCTCCCTGCCATCACGGAGGGAGGGATCGCACCAGTACGATTAAAAGTGCCTCTACTCGGTCAAGGGGGGTAACCCCCAAACCAGTATGGGGATCAGGTCAGGAGGATCAGCCCCCTTGGCCCGTCAGCTGGCAGAGGTGATAGAAGAGAAATTTGGCGATAGATTACGTCAGCTGGAGAAAGACAATGTAAACGTCCTTAGCCGGCTTGACGAGTTTGCCGCCTCAGGCGGAGGGTCGAGGGATTCATTCCTTTCCCGAGGACTCCCCGTCCATGAGGCGGAGACAAAGGATCTAAGAAACCACCTGGATCACAAAGCAGAAAGCTCCAGGGCCCCGAAGCGACCCAGAGCCGGCGAATGCCATCTTGACAACCATTCCAGGAAAGCGAGGCCATTGGCCCTGGACGACCTCCGGCGAGGTTTATCCAGACGGAGGAAGGGAGATGAATCCGAGGAGGACTCAACCCAATCTACACGACGCCCAGGAAACGAGGGGCTTACCGACGAACCCAGGGACTTCAGGAGGCATCCCGTAAGGGAAGAAGTAGATCTCAGAGCCCGATTAGACTCCAGAAGAAAGGGTAAGACTGTCCAGGACGAGGCCGAGGACGAAGTCATGCAAACACCCTTCACGAGGGAAATCAGTGAGATGGATGTCTCAAGAAAGTTCGTCGTGCCACGGTTCAAAACCTATGATGGGCGGTCCGATCCCGAAGCCCATATCAGACAATATAAGCAGATGATGTCCCTCTATCATTCGGACCAACGGTTTCTATGCCGGGTGTTCCCT